CCCAATACTTTTGACAATATAGTGTATATATATATATATATATATATATATATATATAATTAGGAATATACCAATGCCAATACTATGAATTTTCAGGAGTCCTCAGATTCGTGAAAATGCTTCCAATACCGGAAACCAATACTTTGTGGTGGAATTTGCATCAATACAAAATACAACATTCATGGCAAAGAATAGCATGTGATTTGAACTGCACTGCTATTCTTGTCCAAATCGCATGCAGTTTCCCCACTGCTCCTGTTTGAACCTTGAGTTCACACAGGAGTGGTGTGGGAAACTTCCCTGCACCGATCTCATGCTGAGCAGAGAAAAGGCAGATACTCTGGATCCTCAGATATAGGAAAGGAGAGAAAGCCATAGGGATTTGAAATCACCCATGGCTTTCTCTCCTCTCCCTGTAGGAATGACAGTTTGGGCTAGAGGGTTTTTGATTGTGACAGTGCTGACCAATCAGAAGCCATCTGGCCCATACTGTCATTCCTGCAAGGTACCAGGGGCATCTCATGGGGTCCCCTACTGACCCCGAGCCCTCGGGCAGTGTCCGAGTTTCCAAATGGTCATTCCGCCCCTGTTCCTGTGTGAACTCAAGCTTGGGTTCAAACAGGAGCAGTGGGAAGCTGCATGTGATTTGGACTGGAATAGCATTCCTGTGCAAATTGCATGCTATTCTTTGCAGTGCAATTAGCAACCATGCATTTTGTATTGGCGCAAATTACTCCGCAAAGTATTGGTACTTGTACTCGCCAATCAAAAAAGTGTGCATCCCTATTACATACACATTTAGAAAAAGCCCCCATCATTTACAGTATAACATACAGTATTTATCTATATAATGCATGCCTTCACTACAGATGCATAGTATACATGTCTCTACAGCATTCTACCTCTGTATAGAATATCCATCTACAAAGGAGCGTTCCATGAACTATATATCTAGCCACCTCTTCTATTCTGTGTCCTGCGATTTTAAATGACAGTTTTGTCAGTGTCAGGAAGTCAGCAGTTCCCATTGGTCTTCTAGGTATGAAGCTCTTACTAAACAGAAGTCAGATAATTAAAGCAGCTAATGAGACAGTAGCAGTATGAAATGCAGCAGCCGCTTGTTCAGATCCAGGCTCCTCTCTACACAGGGCTCCACATGTCATGTAAAATATTTGATAATGACTTCAATGATGAATGCAGGACATGGCTGATAGCGAATCTGTCCATAATGACATAAAGACATGTCAGATAGGGTTCTTATCTGGCAATTAAATAAAAAATTATAAAAGTAGCAATGATAAAAAAAATACAGAAATTTTGAACGCAGAGGGCTGTTAAGATACGTCTGTCTATTTGTTTAGTAGAAACAATACTTTTATGTAAAGTTTGGAAACTGAAGTACAAACCCCCCCATCTGGTTTGTGATTGAATGCTGCTCTTTTGTTGTCATGGTCCCAACTAACTGCTGCACAAAATGCAGATGAAATCCCCTCTACCACTGTTTATCATAGGGTTTTAATTGAGATCATGTTCTCCATCCAGGAGGTTCATGTAATCGGAGGTAATCTACTTTTATTGGGGACTTTTTCTCTGTAGTTCACCTCTAAAATAAAGTAATTGTCAACCTTAAAGTGAAGATCCACCCAAAAGGTAAAGGCTGGTCTCCCGCTCCCCATTAAGGATTGGCACCTTTGGGGAGTGGGTACCTGAATTTGACAGGTACCCGCTCCCACTTCTCCTGCGATCTCCTAGGGCCCTAGGCAATCTGAAGAGGACTTTGACAGGACTTTGACACGTGACAGGTCCCAGAAGACTACGGGACCATTCACAAAGCACAGCGCTACTCGCACACTGAAGATGCCGGCGCTGGGAACACAGGACGGCTGGTGAAACAGGCTGCAGAGAGGACACTGCTGGTTCCTGGGACAGGTAAGTGGATGTTTTTTAAAAGCCAGCAGCTACAGTTTTCATAGCTGCTAACGTTTATTTTTTTACAGTGTAACTGGAACTCCGCTTTAACTAGATGGTATTGAGGTTGCCAAAGCCTTTAGTATTGTTATTATTATTAGTGTGTATTATAAGCATATTCCATTTTTTATCCTTTGTTGCATCTCAGTACTGCTGATCTACTGCAGCCTTTTTGCAGTCACTCACTGTCTACCTTAACTTGTTTTTGTGGTGAGTGTATAAGAGCTCAGGGTGGATTTCCTGATGGTTACAATGGCAGAACTTGTCTGTACAATGAGCATCAGCAGAGCTGCTTATATCTCCATCACAAGCCAGTGTCACAGGGTGACAACGCAGGAAAGCAAATAGGAGATACGGACAAAGTGCTGTCACACTGTAGCAGGAAATGTCGAAATAAGAACTTTCATGTCAGAATCCCTTTTACATGAGCAGCCAAGGGATGGTAAGAACTGGATTTGTCGCAGTTTTACCCCAACTCTGTCAACTGCCTTTGAAAAGCAATCCACAGTAAAACAGCCGCATATGTAAATGAGGACTTAAAAGCGATGCTAAACTCTGGTTTAAAGAAATGTATACATTCTTAAAGTGCTACTCCAGGACCCTGCAGTCACTATATCTGATCTCCCACAGTACACAGAACATGGAAATGCAATTATTTTAGTAAATATAAACTGCTAAATACCTTTTCTCATCAGCAGTTAGAGCAGTCTTGTGACATCTATCAGTGTCCAGCTGAGCACTGGTTAAAGCTTGTAGGAGTTTTCATTCTCCTCTCACTGCCCTGTGAGATTTCATGACCCCTGACCCTCTGTCTGGACAGTGCTGACTGGCCCTGTGCTGATCACATGCACCCTCCCTAGAAAAAGAAAAAAACTCTCTAGCAGTACACACCAAACTGAGCATGTGCAGAGTGCCCCCGAGGCTGTCTATTCTATCAGATGAAATGTAAACGTGAAAGAAGGGGAGGATAGAAAAGACAGGATCAAACATCCTTTTTACACAATGCAGAGGATTAACCCTTAGGTTCCACAGTGAGTATAACAAGCATGCTTTACTGCATATACAGACTGATTTTACTGTTGTGGGTTTGGTAACACTTTAACTCAAAAAGTCCATTCTTTTGCTGTCATCCTCCTCCTCCATATCTCCAGATTCTATTATTTGCTGCTGTGATCTGACTTCCTGTTAGAGGGTGGCTACGTTCATACTCCATGATCCCACTGTATGTTGGAACATAGCCACCCTCTCTTTCTTGCTCCTGAGATTGAGCCTTTGTACAAGAGGGCAGTGGGGGAATGCCCACATAATTACAAGAAAGTGGGGCAGAACTGCAAGCATGACCTCTACGGCCTGGTTCAAACCTATGCAGGTTGCAGTGGATGCGTTTTCCCAGTGCGTTTTGATTTTTTGTTTTTTGCCATTTTGTATGCATTTTTATAGCATTTTGCATTTTTGGGAGGTGTCTGTTGTCTTGTGGGAGAAACCAGGAAAAAAAAAGACCACAGCAGAAATGTATCAAAAACATAAGCAATGCTTTTTTTTTTATTTGCTTTTGATAAATTTCTACCTCATTTCCATTACAGTCTATGGAACCAAAAACGGAACCTGGCCCTGCAAAAAGTCCCTGACCCTTCCAAAAAATGCAGTGGTGGAAAATGCACAGATGTGAACGTGACCCATAGGAAACCATGTTAAATGAACTGTAGTGTGTTTCTCCAAAACTGAAAACACACAGAAAAACACATACGTGTGAACCAGGCCTAATACAGGACTTCATATATGTCTGCATGTCACAGGGGACACCCTACAGCTAATACGCTTGGTCAACAACATCATAATGGATATCTCTGGGCCTCATATATAAAAAGCATGTGAAAGAAAAGGATCTGTCACTAGAAACCATTCAACCTTGAGCTGCTATTTTCTACAGCAGATTAAAAAAAGAAAAAGAAGGATCTGATTGGTTAATGTGGACAAAGCAGACGGTTTCTTTCCACCTTATAAAGAGAAGGACATCTGAATATTTAAAGTCATCTTTGACCTCTTATAAATGATTATACAGCATGTGCTCAGTAGATGTATACAGATTAATTTCCCATGTCGTCCTATGCCACATATCTCGCTGGCATTACTGCTCATAATTGGCTCACTGGAGGCCAATTTTGGATCTCCCAGGAGTACCGGATTTTAAAATGTCATGTCTTGGGAGGTAAAGGAGTGTCAGAATAATGGCCACAAAAGCCCTACTTCTCCTGCTAAAGGAATTTGTGCTTTCATTAAATTCTCCTTACTTCCACATTAACAGAAATAAACATTCTGTATTGTATGTATTGTATGCTGCTGGCCCTTTTTTTTCAATTCATGCTAGACAAGGCGTGTATCTAGCAATGATAAATAAATAAAGTAGAAGATTTCTTCAAGCTGTAAATATTGTTTAAATATAAAAAGGGAAATGTGGATTCTTACCCGAGTCTTTGTCTTTTTATTGGTAATTCTTTTTGATCTGTGCAGTGATCTATCATGAAACAACTTATGCAATTTGTCTTTGTTCAGGAGTTTTCTATAGTAAAGACCAGTCACTGCTGCTCTTTCACTTTGTACAAACTGACTGGTCTTCTCTCCGCCTCCTTGTAGTTTTCTACAGGCCGCCTGTAGTGGGTGGAGCTGTCCCACCCACGGCTCTGCTCTATGCACAGACACACTGGTGATATCATTGTTACTTGTACAAATACAGATCTACAGTAGGTTTTCAAAGGCATTTAGTGTGCACATAAATTTATATATTTTGTGACTAGCGTTTATGGTTAAAGTGACACTAAATTCTGGTTTTAAAAAAATCTATTTAAAGCAGAGTTCCAGTCTCACTGTAAATAAATAAAAGTTAGCAGCTACAACAACTGTAGCTGCTGACTTTTAAAAAGCAGCCACTTACCTGTCCCAGGATCCCACGGTGTCCTCCCTGCAGCCCGTTTCCTGTCTTCCAGGCGCTGGTATCTTCAGTGTGGGCACCTGGCTGTGACAGCTTGCGGCTTCACAGCAGGGTACCCACTGCACATGTGCAAGTAGCACTGCGCTTTGTGAATGGTCCCGTAGTCTGCTGGGACCTGTCACATGTCCCAGAAGACTACGGGGAGGGAGGGTAGGAGGCAGGGCAGGACTGACAACTCATGGGGCCCCCGGGCAATAGGGGATCATGGGGCCCCTGTGTCCTCGCCCACACTCAAACTACACCCAAAAAATCCTATGAAAGGTACCAGGGGCATCTCATAGGGCCCCCTACTGACCCTGGGCCCTTGGGCACTGCCCGAGTACCAGAATGGTCAGTCTGCCCCTGGTAGGAGAATAACTTCAGCTTCCGATCGCCTAGGCAATCACAGCGGAAGTGGGAGCAAATGCCTGTCAATTTCGGGTACCTGATGAAAAAAGGTATTTAGCAGTTTATATTTACTAAAATAATTGCATTTCCATGTTCTGTGTACTGTGGGAGACCAGATATAGTGAATGCAGGGTCATGGGTTTAGTAACACTTTAAGTAGCGGATGGGTATGAATTATTTTTGGAGAATAATTGTTTAGTGTCACTTTAATTCAGCACACAATTCTCTGTCTGACAATCCGATACAGGTTCTGTATCTATAAATTTTCCATTCTGTGGACAGTGCTAACCATAAAAGATTCAGGTTTCCCTACTAGCACTGCTTGTCTCCCGAGGCTGCTCTAACCTGCACTGTGTATGTCTGGCTGTCATTGTGTCCTGTGCACACAGAACATAAAATGAATTTATAAATTACTGAAGTCAACAATTACAATTGAAGGAAAGCCAGCAGGGTACAGCAAAATGAATAATCATTCCAACAAAAGAATATTAAATATAGTTGTAAAAATAAAGAATGTATATGAAATATGTCCGTTGCTTTAAAAGCTGAGAAGGAAATGTAGATTATACCGTTAGAATACGGCTTTTTTTTTTTTTTGTTCTCATGCAAGATCCACTTCAAGGAAGCTTTGGAACATTGCCGTCTTCGATTCTGGTTTGCTCGTCTCTGCTTCAGTTTCTACAGTAATACAAAAATAGCACAGCTTATCTATACAGCGGCTGCCTGCTGTTTTCTGAAATACATTGATGGCAACAGAAATCTTGCCCGGGAGCTTTGGGAGCAAGTGCTTCCATGCTTCTAATTTATAGCAGGCCAGATCTAACACTGTCTGAAATTCATGGCTTTGTGAACTTGATCTGCTCCAGAGGATCTGAACTCAATTCGTTTGGTAAAAACAGCCCCTCCAACCTATCCGGCTGCCTAGTATTACCTGCTTCTGGTCTGTTGGTAAGGAGATAGGCTTTTTAAATGCACTTGCTGAAATCATTCAAAATAAGGGCTAAGGCTGGCCATACATTATAAAATTTTCTGTTCAATTTCTGCCCAATTTTCTTTAGATTTACCTTCAACTATGTAGTGCAAGAGCCTGCTTAATTGGATACAACTGAAAGTGTTGTTTAGGTTTGACCTCATATTATATGGTTTTTGGTAAATCTAAAGCAAAATTCTCAAGAACATTTTATAGAGTATGGCCAGCCTTAGTGGTCCACTTAATGAAGTTCCAGTTTTGTAATTAAAATCACTGCGGACAACTTCATGCATGTTTTTTAACCAATTGCTCTCCAGAGGATTTACCCCCCTTCTTGACCAGGCCATTTTTTGCCTTAAGGCGCTGCGTTACTTTAACTGACAATTGCGTGGTCATGCAACACTGCACCCAAAGGAAATTTACGTCCTTTTTTTCCCACAATTTGACCTTTCTTATGGTGGCATTTGATCACCTGTGCTATTGGTTTTTTTTTTCGTGCTATAAAAATAATTCCGACAATTTTGAGAAAAAATATTTTTTACTTTTTGCTATTAAACATGTCCAGTAAAAAAAATTTAAAAAATCAAATTTTGTCATAAATTTATGCTAAAATGTATTCTGCTACATGTCTTTGCTAAAAAAAAAATCCCAATACGTGTAAAATAATTGGTTATAGTGAAAGTTCTAGTGATTACAAATGGCGGTATATATACTGGAATTTTGTTTTTCTTTTAATGTTTACTAGTAATGGCAGCGATTTTTAACGAGACTGTGGAGGGCATTCTGATACTGGGGGGAACTGACTTGGTGTCACTGACATGTACTAATAGCACTGGGCAGGAAGGGGTTAACATGTGGGGGATCAAAGGGTTAACTGTGTGCCGTGTGCTGTTTTACTATGGGGCTATGTGTTAGTGCTTCACTGTAAGCACACTGCTCTGCAAAGCAGTGTGCAAGAGCTGACAGGGAGGAGAACTGTTTTGTTTACTAACAGTTCTCCCACCCATCGGAGATGCTCGGCAATCACCGGACACAGGCGAGTAATCACCAGTCGGGACCCGGTGATTGACAGCCGCAGCTGCGAATGGTGGCGTGCGTAGGGCACGCGTTCCCCCTACCCGGAAATGCAAAATCACGTATATATACATGATTTTGCACACCTGTGCCGCCCTGTAGCAGTACTTCTGCTATAGAGCGGACAGGAAGCGGGTAAAAGGGAAGTGCAGGATTCAAAACAATAACAAAATAAACATTCATACTCACCTAGGTGAACACAGCATCAATCTGCTGCTGCATCTGTCCCCTGCTGTCTCCATACCGAGAACTGAGCAATCAAACCCCACCGATCTCCCATTCTCGGTCTTCAGTGAGCAAAGAGCCAATGAGTGTCAATCACTGCTCTCTGCTCTGCCCCTCCACGCTCACTGGAGTGTCGGGCTTTGGAGAGGGTGGGAGTAGCTTGCTCAGGCTCTCAGTGGCATTCTGAGAGGCTGAGCCAGCTGACGGTCAGATATCTGGGTGGGTCCCTACATTATTGTCTGGATCCCTGCAGAGCCTGAGCCAGCTCTGTGACATCAGCCAACAGCAGGCCAATACAGTAAAACTCCAAGTGCAGTGAAAAGTAGTATTAAACCTAAATCCCAAAATGTTATAGATTGCAGCTTACCAATCCTTAGATGCAGTGGCTACATTAGTTTTCTCTTTTTAGGCTGTTTTCACCTGGTGATCTGGCCAGTAACACATCCCCTGTTTTAGAGCACCCTCACTCATTCGATGAAGGAGCACAGGGGGCTCCTATGGACAGCAGCATTGTCGTTCTGAAGGGAGGGAAGTGTTAGATGGACTAGCAGATGTAAATACACTAATAGATTGAAGCCAAACTCCAGCCAATACTTTATAAGCAGTTACAGCAAACAGTTTTTTTTTCTTTTGTTTGTCAGTCTGGGAGAAGGGGAGTGATAAATGTACTAGCAGATTTAGATACACTAAAGCTGGTCATGCACTGTTCAGTTTTTTTTTCAATTAGCCAGTGAGCTGAATGAAAAAAATGGACCTGATTCCCCCACCCACACAGTTGAGGTGGATGGGGGAATCCTTCCCATACGAGGTGGTATCACCTCATACTTGAATCACATCCACCAGATCATCCCCCTCAGCTATCACCTTTTGTATCACCTCCCCCTTCCTTTAGATTGTAAGCTCCATGAGCAGGGCCCTCATATTCCTTCTGTACTGAAATGTATTGTAATTGTACTGTCTCCCTGTTGGCGCTATATAAATCCTGTATAATAATAATCAGAAAGTTTCGAGACTAGTTTTGTAACACACCAACAGATGGCAGCACAAGGCTGCACGCACAGTCACAGGGAGCACCAATCTTTATAAGTCAATGTGCCAAAAGACATTGTCCTGTGTACATCAGGAGCTGTGCAACTGTTGATTTCCTTTCGTGTGTGTTACCACGTCTGCTGTTTCATCATAGACAACAAGTTAGAACAAAGAGAAAACATGAAATTCTGCATGAAACTGGGCAGATCGCTGGATCTCAACATTGTTGTCAAAACGGCAACCTTTGAGCTGAATCGTCATCTTTGGGAAGAACGCGTTTTCAGGGGTGTTGAACTCGTTGAATGTCTTTCCGATTTCTCGTCATCTTCTAGTGATGTTCTTGAAGTACGTGTGCCACTCAAAACACCTGGAACAATTCATTGCAGCATCGCCAAATAATGTCAAATGTCTCTGTGGCAGATTTGTCCATTTTCACACAGAATTTCATATTTGCTTGTTTCTGTCAATGATGAAATAGCAGACGTGGTAGCGCACGTGATTACAATAGCACCAGTTGCACAGCTCCCAATGTACACAGCATGATGTCTTTTGGCACACTGACATATGAAGGTTGGTGCTCCCTGTGACTCTGCATGCAGCCTTGTGCTGCCATCTGTTGGTGTGTTACAAAACTAGTCTCAAAACATTTTGATACCACCTCATAAAATTTAATGTTTCATTCAACAGGAAAGTTAATGTAAAAGGAAAGGGATGTATCCATACTACTTACTATGAAAGTCCATCACTGACTGTATACCTGAATAACCCCAATAGTCTCTACAAGAAGAAGAGGAGATATGTGTGAAATGAAAAATACATGTTGAATTCTGAAAATTATACACAAAAAAATGCAATAACACTTTTTGTTCACTTTAACATGTATGGAAACCCTAGCAGTGAATGTCGCTTATTTGCTACCTTCTGGAATGAAAATGTTTTGTTATAATTGTTTGATAAGATACTAAACAAATGACCAACCCAAAAAATACCTGATGATCCTTTCAGAAATTTTCCTGTACACTCTGCCTGTTCTGCACGTTTATCAGTTAGCATTATTTCCATTTTCTCTCTGTAGATTACAAAACACTTCCTCCCTATTTTATGGAGAGGAAGAGAGGGAAAGGTGTTCTGTAGTCCTTCCCTAGTATAACAAAGCTCCATTTACTGTACATAGTAAGATAAGTTAGTGCTGTCAGCCTAGGACAGGAAGTGTATTACTGGCAGGATGAAATTTAGTGGAAAAAAAAAGAGAAAAAAGGAGACTAACACAGCCAACACTTCTGAGGACTGGTAAGCTACAATATGTTACATTTTTGTTCTTGGGTTTGGATGTGCTTTAAAGGGTTTGATACCAATTTCAGAAAAAAATGAAAAGGTGAAGTAACAGCGGACACCACCGCCACCTCCCGGTTTCCCCCTGTACTTACCTCTGTGGGTGATGAGTGCCCACTCAGCTGGTGTAGTGGTCCGGGGATTTGACATTCCCACTCTTCTCTCCTTCTGCAAGACCTCCAGAACAGATCAGAACAAAAATGATTGGTTAGCATTGTCACGTGACGGCTTTAATCAATCAGAATCGCTCTTATCCATCCCTGAAGAACTACAGAGTGAAGAGGGAGAACAGCAGGGATTTTAAATCCCTGACTGCTACACTGGCTGCG